ACCTCTAAGCTCATAATAATGGGTCGCAGAAGCTAACACATTCCTCATTGAATCTGTAAATAACTATAAATTATAACTGGACATCTAATTGTAATACTGTATAATGTGCTATAAATGCACTTTTTGTCATTGTCATCTGTTGTCTAAAAGGTTCAACCTTTCGAAGCTGTTTTCAAATATCATCTAATTTTTTGATTATGTGAAGTAACATTATGTTATGTCCAGTAATCATTGGAGATATATGAGAACTGATTATGAAAACATCACATCCCCAGTGCTGTAAAAAGGGTCATTCATATATAAAAGGCTATTGAAACTCATACAATCTCATGTATCTACAGCCCTGAAATAACTGATAATAGATCAATTAAGCCAGTTATAGCTTGGTTTGATATTAACAAAAGATATGGCTGACACAATGTTCTTTCTCAATATAAAATGTTAAAAACAAACTTTGTTGATAGAGCTGTTAAGTAAAAGAATATCTACACACACTTCAGACAAAAATCAGACATTTTCCCATGATTATTGTCCAACATTGTGACATTTGGGATTGATTTATTTGTGGTAAATGATTGTCTCTGTTTATACTACAAAACATTGATAAGGTCTCATCAATCGTCTCTGTCTGTCTTTTAAATGTGTGTCCCTGTCTTATTCAAGGACTGTAATGTTGGTGTTGAAACAAGTTCAAATTCTCAAATTCTCATTGTAAATGTGATGCTGCAGTCTTTGGTAATATTCTTAATATTTAAATGATTCTTGATTTGAATTAGTTTCTTTCTTTCTTTCTTTCTTTCTTTTTTAAAGTAAACCAATGTCACAATGCTTAAAATATAAAATACTTTTGTGCCTATTTTATCTTTTTTTTTTTTTGTAAAGATTTTTTGACATGTACAACATTGTCTCACATTCTCAGACTGACAAAGTACCCAGATGCACGTTTGTTTACTTATATTATTTCATGCTGAATCATTACACCAACATGCGATTAAAGAATTCAACATACTAAATAATTCTGAGTGCATCCCAATGATATTAAAACACATTTTTGTGGTTTGGATGTTTGTTATGCTTTTAATATTGACCTGTTTTTGTTTGTTTGTTTCTTTTTAGATCAATTGATGAGTTAATCAACTGAGAATTTATAATTAACATTATAACATCCAAATATGAATTTGCCTGTTCATAAACGCGTTAATGAGTAGCCCAATTTTTTCTAGGAATAACTATGGCATCCAAACTGTAAGCTAATATTCATCTGTACTTCACAGGGGCTCAGGTCCAGGATGCTTTTTGGCTACCTGTGCCACACAAAATCTGGTCCACAGGATGCAGACTGGGGATGAGAAAGCAGGGGAGAGCGCAAGTGATGCATGGGGGCCTGGGAAAAAATAAGATATGTATAGGACAATAAAGGTTACTTTTATTTGATTGCTTTTATGACACATTTACTTGTAAGATATCTTTCCATTGAGTCTTGCTTATGCAAATGAAAAATAAAATCATTTATTTTACCATACATTTATTCCTTTCTTTATTTTGATGAAGAAACATACAAAACTCACATAGTTTCATAAATGTTTCAGTTACTCACAGTGTCAACAGTAGGAAATAAAAAGATTGTGGGGGAGATAAATAAATAAACACTTCTGATAACTGGAGATCAGCCTTTGACGGCTCCGTGGTTTAATTTTGGCCCCAAAACAAACACATTACAACACCCAAATGCATTGTTGTCCATGTTTGCACACAAATTGTATATTCAATCAGGAAGTATGTACAGTAGGTACACCTTCTCCTGTCTAACAGAGAGCCTCAGCTGCAGGCCTCAGTAGCCCAAAAAGGAAGAAACCCCTAATTTACAATTTCTTCCTGCTCCCTCTCCCACATCTTATTAAGAATAAAAAGAAATGTCTGCCTTTGTTGAATCCCTGTCTTGTGGACCTTTTACATTAAATACCATTGAAACTCCGAAAAACTGATGTATCTACAGCCCTGAAACAACTGATGATAGATAAATTAAGCCAGTTATGTAGCGTGGTTTGACTTTAACAAAAAATAGGCTGTCCATGGACCTAATGTTCCTTATCAATATACAACGTTAAAAACAAACTTTGTTGATAGACCTTTTAAGTAAACTGAAACCGAATATCCACACACACTTCAGACAAAAATCAGACGTGTTCCCATGATTATTGTCCAACATTGTGACTCTTGGAATTGATTTATTTAATATTTATTATACGTGGTGACTTATTTTCTCTCTTTATACTGCAAAACATTGATAAGGTCTCATCAATCCCTGTCTGTCTTTTAAATGTTTGTCCCTGTCTTATTCGAGGACAAAACCAACTCCTGCCTGTGGGAATCACACACATGTACAGATGCCTAACATATTTAAAGAGCTTTTGAATCCTCAGAGAATTAAAAATATATCTGCTTTGTTCACATTCACTCTGCTGGACAGCATGTTTCTTGTCTGGACTCTCAGCTCTCTCATCCTCAGCTATGCTCTTGGGTTTCCCTTTCTTAATAGCACAAGGTAAGATAATTTCAAGCATATTTGAAACATTGTCCACAAAAATGACGATATTACTTCACACTTGTGATGCATTCATTTTCAGCAGTGGATCCCATATGGAGACTTTTCTCAATGTCACAGAGGGGAACTTCACAGAGTATAATAAGAGCAATCAGACAAGGTATATATATACACACACACATGCTTAATGATGATTAAATAAAACAGCGTGAATGATGTTGACAGACTGGGGTGGGAAAGCAATAGTCACATACTTTGGATGCGAATATGCATGTTGGGCTCTTTTGTTTAACTTAAATCAGGTAAGAAAAAGTTCTTCATTTATTCATAAAACATTATGAAATCTACTCTGTCACTGTTATCATTAGGCTAACATTTATAGTTATTTACTGCTGTTCATCAGAAAAAAAGTATGCATTTTACATATTGATAAATATTTTTTTTCATACTGAAACTTTCCAAGATAAATGCTCTTTCTTGTCACTAATAATTTGCCTTTTCTGACAGACATGAATTACAACAAGAAAATAATCTTATTAAAGTCATGTAAGTCCTTTTCTTTTTAAATTCTCTCCATTGGAATTGCTTTTTTTAAATAATGCATGTGCTGCTTATGACATGTCAGACAAACCTCTATGCATCCTGGGTCATTCGCTACCTCTCTTTGTTGACACACACAAACAACAGTGTCACGTCTTTGTTTATTGCCTACTTATAGTTCACATTTGTTAATAAAAAACTGCACTTGGGTTCACTTCAGCATGCCCTCAGTGGACTTTTATGACAAACAGCTTGTTCAGTCACAATTCAAACTTTAGCAAATGGCTTTTAAATGATTAAAGGACAGAAGCCCATGTTAGCCTCTGGAATAAACCTTTTTTCTTTTGTCATTTCATCCATTTGGTTTGTCCTCTGGCAACTTGTTCCTTGTGGAACCTGGGGTCTTGCCTACAGATTAGAGATGAGGTCGCTGGAGATTCAGCTAGAGATCCAATGGGAAATGGCAAGAAATGAAGGTCTTTCCTTTATTTTCTTAAGGAACATGTATTTTATTGACGTTTTTTTTCTAAATATTTGTTATTAATAATGAATTTACACAATATTTCAACTCAGCTCAGAAAAAAAGAAACATCCTCTCACATTCAACAGCTTTTATTTCCAGCAAATTACTTAACATGCATAAATATAAACATAAAAAGTTAAACAACTGAGACATAAAAAACAGTTTACTCTTGTTTCACAGGTGCATATGCAATAATTGCTTATGGTTCATTGAACAAGCATGAAAAAAAAAACGTTATTTAAACCCTTGCCAATAAAGATCTGTAAAGCTTATTTGGATTTTACAAGATTACTTTAGTACAGTACAGTACCCCACACACCTCTAAGCTCATAATAATGGGTCGCAGAAGCTAACACATTCCTCATTGAATCTGTAAATAACTATAAATTATAACTGGACATCTAATTGTAATACTGTATAATGTGCTATAAATGCACTTTTTGTCATTGTCATCTGTTGTCTAAAAGGTTCAACCTTTCGAAGCTGTTTTCAAATATCATCTAATTTTTTGATTATGTGAAGTAACATTATGTTATGTCCAGTAATCATTGGAGATATATGAGAACTGATTATGAAAACATCACATCCCCAGTGCTGTAAAAAGGGTCATTCATATATAAAAGGCTATTGAAACTCATACAATCTCATGTATCTACAGCCCTGAAATAACTGATAATAGATCAATTAAGCCAGTTATAGCTTGGTTTGATATTAACAAAAGATATGGCTGACACAATGTTCTTTCTCAATATAAAATGTTAAAAACAAACTTTGTTGATAGAGCTGTTAAGTAAAAGAATATCTACACACACTTCAGACAAAAATCAGACATTTTCCCATGATTATTGTCCAACATTGTGACATTTGGGATTGATTTATTTGTGGTAAATGATTGTCTCTGTTTATACTACAAAACATTGATAAGGTCTCATCAATCGTCTCTGTCTGTCTTTTAAATGTGTGTCCCTGTCTTATTCAAGGACTGTAATGTTGGTGTTGAAACAAGTTCAAATTCTCAAATTCTCATTGTAAATGTGATGCTGCAGTCTTTGGTAATATTCTTAATATTTAAATGATTCTTGATTTGAATTAGTTTCTTTCTTTCTTTCTTTCTTTCTTTCTTTCTTTTTTAAAGTAAACCAATGTCACAATGCTTAAAATATAAAATACTTTTGTGCCTATTTTATCTTTTTTTTTTTTTGTAAAGATTTTTTGACATGTACAACATTGTCTCACATTCTCAGACTGACAAAGTACCCAGATGCACGTTTGTTTACTTATATTATTTCATGCTGAATCATTACACCAACATGCGATTAAAGAATTCAACATACTAAATAATTCTGAGTGCATCCCAATGATATTAAAACACATTTTTGTGGTTTGGATGTTTGTTATGCTTTTAATATTGACCTGTTTTTGTTTGTTTGTTTCTTTTTAGATCAATTGATGAGTTAATCAACTGAGAATTTATAATTAACATTATAACATCCAAATATGAATTTGCCTGTTCATAAACGCGTTAATGAGTAGCCCAATTTTTTCTAGGAATAACTATGGCATCCAAACTGTAAGCTAATATTCATCTGTACTTCACAGGGGCTCAGGTCCAGGATGCTTTTTGGCTACCTGTGCCACACAAAATCTGGTCCACAGGATGCAGACTGGGGATGAGAAAGCAGGGGAGAGCGCAAGTGATGCATGGGGGCCTGGGAAAAAATAAGATATGTATAGGACAATAAAGGTTACTTTTATTTGATTGCTTTTATGACACATTTACTTGTAAGATATCTTTCCATTGAGTCTTGCTTATGCAAATGAAAAATAAAATCATTTATTTTACCATACATTTATTCCTTTCTTTATTTTGATGAAGAAACATACAAAACTCACATAGTTTCATAAATGTTTCAGTTACTCACAGTGTCAACAGTAGGAAATAAAAAGATTGTGGGGGAGATAAATAAATAAACACTTCTGATAACTGGAGATCAGCCTTTGACGGCTCCGTGGTTTAATTTTGGCCCCAAAACAAACACATTACAACACCCAAATGCATTGTTGTCCATGTTTGCACACAAATTGTATATTCAATCAGGAAGTATGTACAGTAGGTACACCTTCTCCTGTCTAACAGAGAGCCTCAGCTGCAGGCCTCAGTAGCCCAAAAAGGAAGAAACCCCTAATTTACAATTTCTTCCTGCTCCCTCTCCCACATCTTATTAAGAATAAAAAGAAATGTCTGCCTTTGTTGAATCCCTGTCTTGTGGACCTTTTACATTAAATACCATTGAAACTCCGAAAAACTGATGTATCTACAGCCCTGAAACAACTGATGATAGATAAATTAAGCCAGTTATGTAGCGTGGTTTGACTTTAACAAAAAATAGGCTGTCCATGGACCTAATGTTCCTTATCAATATACAACGTTAAAAACAAACTTTGTTGATAGACCTTTTAAGTAAACTGAAACCGAATATCCACACACACTTCAGACAAAAATCAGACGTGTTCCCATGATTATTGTCCAACATTGTGACTCTTGGAATTGATTTATTTAATATTTATTATACGTGGTGACTTATTTTCTCTCTTTATACTGCAAAACATTGATAAGGTCTCATCAATCCCTGTCTGTCTTTTAAATGTTTGTCCCTGTCTTATTCGAGGACAAAACCAACTCCTGCCTGTGGGAATCACACACATGTACAGATGCCTAACATATTTAAAGAGCTTTTGAATCCTCAGAGAATTAAAAATATATCTGCTTTGTTCACATTCACTCTGCTGGACAGCATGTTTCTTGTCTGGACTCTCAGCTCTCTCATCCTCAGCTATGCTCTTGGGTTTCCCTTTCTTAATAGCACAAGGTAAGATAATTTCAAGCATATTTGAAACATTGTCCACAAAAATGACGATATTACTTCACACTTGTGATGCATTCATTTTCAGCAGTGGATCCCATATGGAGACTTTTCTCAATGTCACAGAGGGGAACTTCACAGAGTATAATAAGAGCAATCAGACAAGGTATATATATACACACACACATGCTTAATGATGATTAAATAAAACAGCGTGAATGATGTTGACAGACTGGGGTGGGAAAGCAATAGTCACATACTTTGGATGCGAATATGCATGTTGGGCTCTTTTGTTTAACTTAAATCAGGTAAGAAAAAGTTCTTCATTTATTCATAAAACATTATGAAATCTACTCTGTCACTGTTATCATTAGGCTAACATTTATAGTTATTTACTGCTGTTCATCAGAAAAAAAGTATGCATTTTACATATTGATAAATATTTTTTTTCATACTGAAACTTTCCAAGATAAATGCTCTTTCTTGTCACTAATAATTTGCCTTTTCTGACAGACATGAATTACAACAAGAAAATAATCTTATTAAAGTCATGTAAGTCCTTTTCTTTTTAAATTCTCTCCATTGGAATTGCTTTTTTTAAATAATGCATGTGCTGCTTATGACATGTCAGACAAACCTCTATGCATCCTGGGTCATTCGCTACCTCTCTTTGTTGACACACACAAACAACAGTGTCACGTCTTTGTTTATTGCCTACTTATAGTTCACATTTGTTAATAAAAAACTGCACTTGGGTTCACTTCAGCATGCCCTCAGTGGACTTTTATGACAAACAGCTTGTTCAGTCACAATTCAAACTTTAGCAAATGGCTTTTAAATGATTAAAGGACAGAAGCCCATGTTAGCCTCTGGAATAAACCTTTTTTCTTTTGTCATTTCATCCATTTGGTTTGTCCTCTGGCAACTTGTTCCTTGTGGAACCTGGGGTTTTCCCTACAGATTAGAGATGAGGTCGCTGGAGATTCAGCTAGAGATCCAATGGGAAATGGCAAGAAATGAAGGAAGATGTAAAAGAAAATTAGCATGATCCTGAATGAGAGAATCCCAGTGCATTCTTTATAGTTTTGCTGCATTATGAAAACAGGAATGATTTTGGCATGTTTGGATCAAAATATGCTTGGGCTTATGGTGATAAATATCTGGGCTTTTGGTGATCTTTTTATAATAAATAACTCTTGAACTGAACCAGTGTTTTAAGTGAATGGATTTGTCTTAAAATGTAATGACACTTGTGTGTCTTTTCTTTTTAGCATTTTATGCAAAGATTTTTTACATACATCACACAACATCACATTCTAAGACTGCAAATAAAGTACCCAGAAACAAAACCCAGCTTTTGTTTACTTGTATTATTTCATGCTAAATCATTGGAACAACATTTAACCAAAACATTTAAACAAAGCATTGTAAGTCTATCTAAATGATACCAAGTCACGTATTTGTGTGTCCTAATTTGTCTATTTGGTTATGTTGTTTGTTATACAGATGTGCTAGTAGTATTGAACTTTTTTTCTGTTTGTTTCTTTCTTTCTTTTTAGGCAGAGTTTTGACATACCCAAATGGTGAGAAATTATAATTAGCACTATTGAATTTGACCTATTTATGAACGAGTTAATCACATTCACATGAGTAGCTCAGTTTCTTCTAGGAAAAACTATATGGCATCCAAATGTAAGCTAATATTCATCTGTACTTCACAGGGCAAGAGATCCAGGATGTCCTTTGGCTACCTGTGCCACCCAAAATCTGGTCGACCGCATGCAGACTGGGGATGAGAAGGCAGGGAAGAGCGCAAGTGACCCATGGGGGCCTGGGAAAAAATAAGAGATGAAGAGGAGAAAGAGGGTTACTTATTTGATTGTTTTCAGACACGTTTATTTGTCAAATGTCTTTGAGCCTTGGTAACTTTTATTATACATTTTATTATTCATGCAAAAAGAGCAACTATAGAAATATGGTTTCAACACATTGTTAATGTCATCTCTCCACACTAACGAAGAATAAAACCATTCTTATTTCCATCCACTGACTCCTTTTCTTTCATTTGAAGATAAAATATTATCAAAATATAACAAATATGTTGCCTGTTTTATCATACATAAAAACAGGACTAAAAATAACTGGCAAAAAATGAACCCAGTAACCCAATATAGGTTTCATTAACAACTACAACCCACTAAGTATACCTCAAAATCTGTCATACATACAGTTGATATATTTTCAGAAGTATGCCAGTTACTTATAGTGCGTGGCAAGAGTGACAAGTCTGTAAGGAACTAAAGAAAGTGGGCATAATAATTGTGTAACTGAAACTTTTATTTTATATGCAAACTGAATGAAAATATATAAAACAAATTATTTGTATGTATGTATGTATTATGCATGGTGATTTATTTTCTCTCTTTATGAGAGAAACATTGATAAGGTCTCATCAGTTGTCTCTGTCTGTCTTTTAAATGTTTGTCCCTGTCTTATTCAAGGACAAAACGAACTTCTACCTGTGGGAACCACACACATATACAGATCATTAAAAGACTAATGTGCTTTTGCATAGTCAGGGAATTGTATATAAGCTTAAATCAGCTCGGATCTGCTTCATTCACATTCACTGTGTTGTTCAGTAAGTCAGTGCTGGTGATGAACATCATGTTTCTTGTCTGGACTCTCAGCTCTCTCATCCTCAGCTATGCTCTTGGGTTCCCCTTTCTTAATAGCACAAGGTAAGATACTTTCAAGCATATTTGAAACACTGTCCATAAAAATGACCACATTCTACTTCATAACTGTGATATATTTGTTTTCAGCCATGGATCTTACATGTTTCCCAATGTCACAGAGAGGAACATCACAGGGTATAATAATAATACCAATCAGACCAGGTATATACACGCACGTGTTTGACAGAACAGAAACTGTGTGAATGATGGGTTTTGCTGGGAAAGAAATACTTACTTCGACCTTAGTAAAATGGCCAAAACTTGCCCATTTTACACATTTTTGGCAGTTGTTTACGTAAGTTCTTAAATGATTGTTTAAAACGGTATAAAGGATAATTTTTTCGCTCTGATAGGCTTTTCATAGTGTTTTTGTGTTTATACAGAATTTCTTAATATAAGCAGGTTTATATGTGTGTGTGTTTGTGTAATAAAACAGAATTCTAGGTTTATAATAATAAAATAGCACTTCTTTTCTCGTTGAGAGAGTATAACAACATTCAAACAATTTTCTTATACATATATTCCTAATAGCTTTTCTTTTTTTACAGTCACCGATTCCAGTCAGAACAGTTTCCCGCGTAAGTCTTTTCCTTTTCAAATTCTCTTTATTGGAATTCCTAATTTGCTGAGTAATGCCAATGACACTTATGACATGCCAAACAAACCTCTACGCATCCTGTGTCATTCTCTGTCTTTAAGCTGCTCTCTCTCTTTTTGATATCGGACAACAGCTTGTTCAATCACAATTCAAACTCTAGCAAATATCTTTCAAATGATTAAGAACTAAAAGTCAGAAACCCATAATAGCCTCTGGAATTATAAGCTTGTTTTCCTTTGTCATTTCAGCCTAACAAATCATATACACATATTATCATGTTTTTGTGTATAGATTTATGTGGATAGTTTGTTTTTAGGTGGTGTTGACTTGTTTTTGACTATGAATTTCAGTCGGTTTATGAAATGTGCATGAGTACAATAAGTTTAAGCAAACAAGATTCTCTGTAGCCCAATTTCTTCTAGGAAAAACTATGACATCCAAATGTAAGCTAATATTCATCTGTACTTCACAGGGCAAGAGATCCAGGATGTCCTTTGGCTACCTGTGCCACCCAAAATCTGGTCCACATAATGCAGACTGGGGATGAGAAGGCAGGGAAGAGCGCAAGTGACCCATGGGGGCCTGGGAAAAAATAAGAGATGAAGAGGAGAAAGAGGGTTACTTTTATTTGATTGCTTTCATGTAATTTTAAAATGTCTTTACTTTGAACCTTGCTTTGATTCAAAAGCGCTAACTTTCATTACACATTTTATTATTTATGCGAGCAAATAAAGAAAGGTGTTATCAACACTTTGCTAATGTCATCTCACCAATGAAGAATAAAATCCTTTTTATTACTATCCATAGACTCCTTTTCTTTCTTTCTATTTTTGTTTTATCATATGTAAAAAAAAAAAAAAAGAATCTAAAAATAAATAGTCGTTTTTGTATATAACAGGAAAGGTATCCATGCAAATAAATGTTCAGCAAAATGTATGAATTAAATCTGTCAAACATAACTAGGCATCATATTTTCATAAATATATCAGTTACTCACTGTAAAACATGTCACTCCCAGTACAGTGAAAAAAAAAAAACTGGTCTAGGATTTACTTTGAAACAATCTACACTTTAGAAATAGCTTGAAACTTTCACAAATAAATACAAAGAAACGGCAAGCAACACACTGAATTGAACACAGAACTAGAAAGACTTAAATAGTATTTTCTTGTAAAACATACTCCAATAATCTTTGTTTCATTTACAGGAAAGGAACGAAAGATTGTGGCAAAATACATTTCTAACTGCAACTGCATGAGATTACCAAAAGAGGGCCCCATAATATTAGAAGCATGTCTGTGCAACTGTGAAGGTGTCCTAATGGGCTCATCATGAGAAATTAATTAAGATGTAAAACAATAAACCTCATTTTATTATTGAACAGTGTATTAAATACAACTTTATTTCTCATATTTCCACCTATATTTATTGTAAATATTCTGCTCAATTTTATATTTTATACTTGATTTTATATTTTATACTTGAGTTTATATCTCACATTTGCATCTCAAAAATGCAGCATTATGTCTCCTTAGTCCTAACTGCAATTTTATATCTCACAAATGTGATAAAAAAAAATCCCCAATATGACAATTTACAGTTGCGACTTTACTGTTTGAAATCACAACTCCCCCACCCCTCAGAATTATGTCTTTATTTTTATTGGGATTGTCACTTGTATTTTACATGTTGTGGAACATTTAACATATTTAAATATTATTTGAGCAAGCTTCTAAAAAAGAAACATGGTCTATAATCAAAATATTGTTATACCACCCTCAAAAACAAAACAGCTTATACAATACAATATCATGTATGGGCATATATATATATCAGTCACATAAAAATATTTTGATAATGCACATTTAATCTAACAATGCAATTTTAATTCGAGACTTTAATTTTTTTAAGTCTTTAATGGCCAGGTATTAGTCACTAATTTCAAAGACACAAGATCCCAGAGCATCATACTGTTTTTGAACTATCATCGGACTCCAGATTTACGAGAAAGAACGCTGTAGAAGAATGAGTTGTGGCCGATTAGTTCCACCCCTTTCCAACCTTCTGAACGATTCCAATAATTCTGCTGCCACTCACACGCTGAGGACCAGGGAAGAGGCCGTAGATTTACTGAATATTGAGTTCTCAGAAGGGAAAGACCCAATTAACTGTGATTACTTTGAGTTAATCAGGGTCTTCATCATCAGATCCACTCGTCAATCAAAGGTGAACATGACACGTCAAGTTGCTTGTGATTATCAGCTTGCTATAAACTAAAGAAAAGGGGCCTCAAATGGTTTATGTGTGTCCCCGGAAGACTTATGTATTCCACCTACATGTTCGTCCTCATACCCCTCACACAAAACTTTCTGCTATTTTAGATTTTCAAAACATTTCATGCTATATGATTTTTAAGCTGTTTTCCTCATGGGGACCAAAAAACAATGTCCCCACAAGGTCAAAAATTACTGGTGTTACTATACTTGTGGGGACATTTGGTCCTCATGATGTGGGGAATACCAAGGTCATAAACCTACCCCTCACACAAAACTTTCTGCTATTTTAGATTTTCAAAACATTTCATGCTATATGATTTTTAATCTGTTTTCCTCAAGGGGACCAAAAAACAATTGTCCCCACAAGGTCAAAAATTACTGGTGTTACTATACTTGTGGGGACATTTGGTCCTCATGATGCGGGGAATACCAAGTACACACACACACACACACTCAGGTTTGTTTTTATTGTTTATGGGGACTCTCCATAGGCGTAATGGTTTTTAAACCGTACAAACCGTATTTTCTATTGCCCTACACCAAACCTACCCACACACACACACACACACACACACACACACACAATGATATGGATGCTGTACTGCATTCTTGGGAGTCAACCTGATGGTCCTCTGGCATTTCTGAAAATAAACATATTAAAAAAATAAATAAATCAGCCTAAGGTGGTTTTCTGGTCTTAGCTGGTTTAAGATGGTTTAGCTGGTCTCCTAGCCTAAGTTCAAACAGTTAGTTTTTGGGATTGACAGATTTATTTAAGAGGTGTGATACTCTCCCCAAAGACACTTAATATTTAGTAATATTATCAATTTGACTGCACTGACACTATCGGATGAGAGCTGAATTCAGCCGAATAATGACACTATTGTAGAGCTGCTGTATAGCTAAATTGAATTGGTTTCATAATTGACCAATTTTGCAACATTGACACTGTTACTGAACTGATTCTACAGCTGAATAACCACACTACAGCTGATAGAGCTGATTATAGATGAATTAAACTGGTTTCATGATTCATTAACTTTTCATTGAACTGAACTGAATGAACACTGAAGCAGAATAAGACACTATTGTCTTTTCAGAGCATGCTTCAGAGCAGAATTTGAATTTGTCTCATAGTTGATGAAATTTGCATAATTGATTGTTTATTACTCTTAAGCTGCTTTAAAACAATTTGTATTGTATAAAGCACTATATAAATGAAGGTGATTTGACCTGAATCTCAAACTGTCCTGCTCACACAACAGTTTACATACAGTATTCAAAACAAGGCTAACTAAGGCTAACCAAAAGGCCAGCGTTAATCCCTTTTCTGTTCTCACCATAACTATGAATATCACCTGACCAATGACTAATATGGCAATATCCATAACACTGGAAAGTCTTATCACAGTTGGAGTGCAACAAGTCCAATTAATTTTTTTTTTTCCATGTTCCTGGTTTCCAGACTGGTGCTTGCAGGGTAAATTTATTTCCGGTAACAGCAATTGCAGAGCCTAACAAGAATAAGATTTGGATAGCATTTAATTTTCTCACATAATGAGTTAGTGTTACGCAAACTCTCTCTGGTGACGTTTAATCTCCTGCATTTTATAGCCTAGAAAAAATTTTGGTCTAATGTGAACAGTTGGTTTCCTTCCATGTACCTTTTCTTGTACGCCTTTCATTCTCTTCTTTAATCGTTTCTTTCAGTAAACCTAAGGGTAGTCTGCTAGATTTTAATGGTTTGGATTACTTTCCTCTGTGGCAAACAACAGCTTTTCATGCCACAGTGAGGTCAGCACAAAGTGGATTAAGACAAAGTGAAGCTCTCATGCTGTGCTACGAAAGTGGACGACTGCCACAAACACGCACCTACTCACACATAATAACAGCTGAATTTTGGAGTCGCGCTTCACAGCCGGGCCAATTTCACGTCATTACTAAAAATGCAGATGAAAAGTCTTTCAGTGTTTTTGAATCCTGCCATAAGGCACTCTCAAAAGAGAAAGAAAAACGGGTAAGCAGAACTTTCTAGAAATTTCTTTCACTAACCCACTCCCACACACAACATTTCCTCTCCATGGTTGTTTTTATGTAATCAAGGATTGTTAGTTTCAGACTGAAATGCCTATCACTGCCTCATTGCAATCTCTTATTGGCCATTCACTTGAGTTGCCCGAGTCCTTCCTCTCTTTTTAAAAATAACCCTGGTCGAGTCCATATCAGTCCATCCTTCTCCCCTTATCTTCATCAATCACTTCCTGATGGAGCAGTCAATGTAGGCTGATCATTAGGGGTTATAATGAGAGTGTACCTGTCTCTGCTGAGATCTGAAACAGCCACTGACCTGCCTCTATCCACTGTGACTCATTGGAGGCCTCCTCATTTTCTAAAGAACAACCCAGACCTCGCTACACCCACACAATCCCTGTCATTATTGATGTGTGTTGGATTGTAATTTGTCATTGAGCAGATGCTTCTAATTCCAAAGTGACTTATACTACACTTAAACCTATTGAGAAGCATGTGGATAAGTGTCAGATAAATACAGCGATGATGGTTCATATAGCTCATCTCATTTCATTTAATTTAATTTCATCTCAATCTCATCTCATCTCATCTCATCTCAACTAATCTCATTTCATCTCATCTCATCATCTCATCTCAACTAATCTAATTTCATCTCATCTCATCTCATCATCTCATCTCATCTCATCATCTCATCTCATCTCATCATCTCATCTCATCTCATCATCTCATCTCATCTCATCTCATCTCATCTCA